CCTCAACAGCACATTTCCAACTAAATTCTAAATTTAATACAATAAAACTAGAAAAAGTATAGTTTTCTCCCTTTCCTTTTTGCCTTAACAAAAATGTGTATAGGCATTACAGAGTATCTGGTAATTTCCTCAAATTATAGAGGAGTGTTCACATAAAGCGTGATATAGTAATGCTGAACAGAAAAACATCACCAGATATTTGGAAAAATTCAGTAATTCAAAAGAACAATACAGTTTTCATAATCAAACCCGTATGAAAGGTGATTTGCTACATAAATAAGGAAGAGAAATTTTAAATATATTTGAAATTATGTTCATAAGATTTTTGGACACATATTAAATAAATTAGAACTTCAGTTAAACCAACCATGAAAAAATGTAATTTGTCATTGTTTTAAAAAAAGATTGGAAAACACAAAACACTACATATAAAGTAAATGTATGGAAGTATTTAGACTTTATAGCATAATGTCTCTTGTTTGTGGGATTTTAGGTGATTTTATTCTTTTCCTAAAAATTAACTCTTACTTTTTATATTTTTCAAGTAATATTTATGAATTTTGTAATTTTTAAAGAAAATTCAAAGTTAGTGGAGGAAAAAGGAAAATGATATAATAGCAATTTCATATAAAGCAATATAATGTAGTGTGCCTAAGAGAGTATTTCTGGGGCCACACTAACTGGTTTTGAATTTCCATCTCCTTGATTTTTGTCCTTGGGTGGGTTGCTTCACTTTTCTGTCTCTTGATTTCTTCATCTGTAAAACAAGGATAATAATAGTACTTACCTTGTAGTATTGTTGTGAAGATTAAATGAGTTAATACGTAGAAAACATCAGAGCATCCTCTGGTACATAATTAGTACTCGATAAGTATTCTTACATAATTATGATGATTTTTAGGACTTAGTCATTCAATTCTGTCCAAATGTAGAGCTAGCTTGCTCTGCCAGATTGTGCCAAGATTTAGATATAACTTTTATTTCCATGAATCTAATTTCAGAGAGAAATAGATGAAAAAATTGAAGGCCCTTCACATACTAATTTAATAAGAGTAAGGGCTCTTTGAAAAGAAATTTACTTCACAATTTAATTGAAATTGCAAAAATGAGACCAGAAGGATATAAAACAATATGAGTGAAAATCTTTCAAATAAAGAGTGTGATAAAAAGGAAACTGGAGATAGAAAGAGGAAAGGAGATGTGGGAACAAAAATAATAAAAGAGAGAGGGAACAATGTAACCAGTTGCTCGGGAGTTAGAGAGTAAGTTTCCTATGGACCTATTCAGGTGTAGGTTGCACTCAGCAGCAGCTTTGAGAGATTGAGACACAGAAGGTTGACACCATTTCTGAATCATCACCATTTCATAAGACAGAGAGTTATAAATAGTTCATACCATTAGAAAGGAAATTAATTAGCAAGACTGGAGATGACTGGATATAGTCCACAATTACTTCTAATGGAAACAATGTCTTCTGCAGACACTGGTATCACAATTTGCAGAAAAGAGTTACAGGGAAATTGAGCAGTAGCGTGTGATGATCAGTAATTTTGTGCTCTGAAAATGTATTTTTTTTTCAAAATTAGAGAAATTTAGGTTTACTTTGGATGTTCATGGAGTTATACAAGTTATATAAACCACAGATAATATTTGTTTGGCACCAGTATCAAGTTTAAGAAAACTATTACTTTACACTCTTAACTGCTTGTTTCACTTGGAATTTCGAGAAATAAAGAATTGATATTTGAACAAATCAGGAGAGTTTCAAGGTAGTACAAAATTAGAGTGGGAAAATCTCACTTGGTGTTTTTTAACAGCTTTATAGAGTTTAATATGCATACTGTAAACTTATTCATTTAAATGCACAATTCAATGCTTTATAGAGTTGTATAACCATTATCGCAATTCAGTTTTAGAACATTTCTATCACTCCAAAAAGATTCCTTGTGCCTGTTTGTAGTTCATCTCCACTCTTACTTCCAGACCCAGGCAAAAAGTAATTTGTTTCTTCTGTTTATAGATTTGTCTTATCTAGATATATAAATGGAATCATACAATATGTAGTTTTTTGTGACTGGCTTCTTTCACTTATACTATTGTTGGCATTCATCCATGTTGTAGCATGAATCAGCAGTTTATTCCTTTTTATTGTATTTTTTATGGATGATGCTTTTGTTGTCTTATCTAAGAACCCTGCCTCATTCATGGTCAAGAAGTTTTTCTCCTATGCTTTCACTTAAAATTTATAGGATTATAGTTCATTTATTTAGATATTTGATCCATTTTGTGTTAATTTTTGTGTATGATAGAAAGTAAGGGTTTAAATTCATATTTGTGTTCATGCTAGTTGGAATTCATTGAGCTTCTTGAATTTTGGATCTGTAAATTTATATATTTTTTATATTTATATTTATATTTATAATTTTCATTCAATTTGGTCAGGTTTTAGATGTTATTTCCTCAAATAATTTTTTTTTGCTACTTGTTCTCTCTCTTTTCCTGAGACTCTCATTACATATACTGGTGTGTTTGATGGTGTTGCACAGGTCCCTGAGGCTCCCTATTCATTTATATATTTATATTTAATTTTTTCTCCTATTGTTCAGATTGAATAATTTCTGTTAATCTAGGATTAGATTGCTGATCCTTTATTATGCCATCTCACAGTTGTTTTTGAGCCTTCTAGTGAATTTAAAATGTAGTTATTACACTCTTCAATTCCCAAATTAAATTTTTATTTTTATAATTTTGGTCTCTTTATTGATATTCTCTATTTGTTGATTCATCACTTTCATATTTTCTTTTAATCTTTTAAACTTGGTTTTCTTTAGTTCTTTGTACATACTAATAGTAATTGATTTGAAGTTTTTGATTGTTAAGTCCAAAATCTAGGCCCCTTCAGAGACAGTTTC